AAAATACTCCACATCTGTTAAAGATAAATGGATTATTTTTTATTTATCGAAAGCAAGACAAATGAGCAAGCTTTTAAGATTATATCAATAACCCCATCAAAAACTGACAAGTACTGATTCCTCAGCGTCGTGTAACTCGTCATATACAGCTGATTCTTCCAATCTCCCCCTTCCCTCTTTTTCTGTTGTCCCTCTGCGTTTTAAGCGTCCAGATCAAGGGTCACCGAACTTTGTTCAAAGTGGTTGCTCTGGTGTAGTTTGCTCCCTCTTTCTTATCAAACATCAATCATCCTCATCTCTCCTTCTTTTCTGCGTATTTTACTCTCTAGTAACGCTGGTAGCATCTTTTCAGAAGACGGACGTCTCAACAGAGAAATTGAGACGAGAGTACAAAAGGCTAACAGCGTCAGCTACCAGCCTGCCCCACTCCTCAAACATCCTAACATCCCCATTGAGACCAAAGCCAAGCTCCTCTATATTCATCCCCACTTTGACCTACCCCTGCCAGACATGGACCCTGACCAAAAGTCTGGAATGTAAGATAACCACCTACGAGATGAGATGTCTAAGGAGAGCCGTCAACAAAACCAGACGGGACATGGTCAGAAACAACAAGATCAGAGAAATGGTGGGAACAACACCTGACCTCCTCTACATCCGAAGGCAAACGATCAGGTGATTTGGACATCTCACACGTATGGCACCTAACCAGCTTGCCAGTAAAGCCTACTACAGGAAAGTGTAAGGGTACAAAGCAAGAGGAAGACCAAGAAAGACCTGGATCCAAGGTGTGAAGGATACCCTGAGAACATTCAATATCCCACCCAGCCAGGCCATCAAACTTGCTAGAGACAGGAAGCTCTTTCTCACCTCGAAGCCCTAGAGGTACAAGAGGACGGATAAAGTAAAGTAAGTAAGTAATGCTTATCTTCTGCAGTGCCATAACTTTTAACAAAGCTAAAACACATCTTCCACATGGCGGCAGACCAGAACTAATTTCTCAGGCCATGATCTAGAGGTCAATATCTCAACTCTGATGAGCATTTACACCCAAAGTCGTTTAAAGAGGATGGTTAGACTCTGGAGAGTGCCATTGTTTGATCTTACTTTTCTATAATCCCATTTTAGTTTCCGCCTGTATTGCTTTTCTCTGGCCCTATATGGCAGTTTTTATTTGGCTGTCCCGTGGTTTTATGTACCCCGCATAACTTAGCAAAATTTGATCATTTTTTTGCATAATTTCTAATTTATTTTTCTCTATCATTCTTCGTTAAATTAACAGAATTGCACAATTTCACATTTTTGGGCTCTGTTTGCATAATTTCAGAATTTTTCTGGCATAAAACGACGGGGTACAGATTTGGATATGCTTCTCTATACATTTATGTCAACTCAAACCTTGTGAATCTATAGTCCCTACTAGAATATGGGATAGTTCTGTGCACTTACAACTCATACATCCACACCCAGACATCCTGGCAGCTCCACTCTCGGAATGTAAATTTTAGACTGGTTTTGTGGGGCATTTTTTTCAATTTGAGGAAAGAGAAGGACGTTGACAAGATAAAGGTCATGTAGTGGGGGCAAGAAGCAAGACAAGACAGGTCTCTACAGACATAAACAACAGAGAGAAAGAAAAGAAGTCAGCCCTATAAGATTCCCTGTAAGGACTTCTCTGTTGACATCCACCCCTTGGCACTCATATTACCTAATGCAGTAGCAAGCGCCGTAAAACCTCTACTAAAACTAAACAGAAGTAAGACTTGCCAGAGGCGCACTCCAACCACCTGATGGGGTGTTTTTATCCCACACATGGCAGCCTTTCCTCCTAGAGATGGTCGATAAATCGGAGGTCCTGTCTCTCAACCTAACGTAGTAGTGTTGAAAAGGACATACGTTTAACCAAACTGCTTAATTAAAGTCATTGGACTTAAAGCAGTTTCATAGCACAGTGGCCTTCATGTTCATGGTGTTTAAGTTTGTGAATAAAAAATATTATAAGAAACCATAAACATTTACCCTCCCATCTCATTGTTCAATCCAGTCAAAACTATGAACGGATTATTTGTTTGTTTTGTTGGAGTAAAGAGAATCACATTCAATCATATTGACACAAACACAGTACAGTGGTGTCCATTTATAACCAGCCTCTGTTATTACTCTGAGTGTAAGTAATATGAACCTGGCTACAACAGGGCTCAATGTGGGCAGCCTCGGAATAACAGTGATCTTGCAGCACATGAAAATGCTTTCGATCCATCGAATTATTAAAATTTGTCTCAACCAAGACATTTCGCCAGTTTGTATGATCGCTGGCCTAAACTAAACTTTCAAACACATACCCCTCATAGTGTTAGGGGTCACTGATCAATTCCGTCTCAGTGTCAGCAAAACAGCCCACTGGAAAAGGATCTGTGGTAATCGAATATATATATATAGCAAGCTGAAGGTGCAATGGTACTGGTAGTTTCCCTTGATAACGGTTATAACAGGACTCGCTGATAATAGAACAGGAAAAAAACTGCCCGTCCTTCCTGTCCTGTTATATCCGAGTTTGACTGTAATGTAGAGCACAGAAAAGAAAAACGGATGGATGGACACAGAGGGAAGGAAAGAAAAGAGGGGATCTACAAAAGGGGGCCATTCAACCACCCACTTGAGGGGATCTACAAAAGGGGGCCATTCAACCACCCACTTGGAACGTATGAGAACTTCCTTTATATGAGCAAAATAAGTGTAATAGACAACATAAACACTCAACAGGTAAATATGATGTAGAAAAAGAAAGAAAAAAAAGAAGAGAAAAGGTAATAGTGGTATTCAAAATGTAATTTAATTTGGTCTCAAAACATCATACTTTCCAAGATAATTCACATCATGACAGAATTCTTTACTTCACTCTTTTTACACAATGTAAACTTTCATTCAATACTAAAAACACCCCCCAATAACTTGTTAACTGCACACATAACTGTGTAGAGTTGAGATATGTCTCAAGTGTGACCATGGAAAATTTTCACCACCTTTGAGATAAGGGTGATGCTTAAAATTTGCGCCAATCTTCAAAAACACTTGGTTTTGTCGAGTCCGGGGCTAGTCATAGCTCTTTCTGTACAATTCTATACAACTTGAATATCAGCTCACAACATCCGCCAAATCAAAACGATACAACTCAAAGTTTGCTCCCTTAATACATGTCGATAAAAAAGTCACATTTGGTGCTTCGAAAATATAGAAAAGTAAATGATGTTAAGCATTTTATTCTTTTCATTAGAAGTGTTTTATCTCAAGTTTTTTCCCTTTTGAAACTTCATACAACGAAGTCGTGCAGAGAAATGTTCTTATTCCGAACTTTCCAGCAAAGCTGGGAGGGAACTGTCCTTCTTTTCTATAAAACTCAGGAGCACACCACATGTAGACATTCCAGTAGAAACTTGAACAACAAGAACAAGAACAAAACCAGACATATTTTTTCCATATTACAATAAACAAGTAACAATACAAGTTGCGTATCAAAGTCCTACACACAGGCACTGCAAAATATATCTACAAAAATAAATTAAGTTTGCATGAGGTCAATAACTATAACACTTACAGCCGTCATAATTCAAAATTCCCACCAGACGTTCAAGCACTTTGAATCAGACATACGTACACATATACACCCCTGCAGACACACTAGAAACCTCTTTGTCAAATCTATATATACAATTGCGTTTATCAAGCATTAACAAAAACATAATCCGATGCAGCAGCTGAGGACAGAGTGAAATGTAGCGGCTGTCATGTGGAGAGAGAACAAAGCTCTTGAACAAAAGTACCATGAAAAAAGTAGTGCAAAAACAAATACTTCTCTTTTCTAGAATTCTCCTCAAGTCGCTTACACAAACACAGACGAGGACCACACACAATTTACTATACATCCATATAAAAGGCAGGCAAAAATATTTTACTCATATCACTGACACAATAACGGAACCAATTTGAACTCACTACAGAATACACAAGAAAGATACACCCCCGCTTCTTCCTTTGTGGTTTCTTGTCTACCATCCCAACTCTGTAGTGCTTATAAGAAATATGGAGCAAAAAAAATCCTGGGAAAATCACAAACTATGAACATGTAGTAGGCCAGGTTCAAATGCTACAGATTTAAAAAACTGACACAAATCTGTCCTTGTAATTCTGACCTGACAACTACCCAACACGCTAAAAATACTAGTAACACAATCGACTAAAATACTGAAAGGAGCCTAAAAGTCCCTTCCTTAACTGCAGGTATTTAACACTGCAGTTTACATCATGAAGGAGACAGGTCGCATCAACCCAGCTAATTATTATCATCATAACTATTACATGTCGTACTTCCTTCCTCTTTAGTGTAGGTGTCATTTATGCCCCTATCGAAACAATTTAGACGACAGCCAGCTAACACCACAAGAGACAAATGTAGAAACTTTATTAAATGCCATCCCCACAAACAAATCATGTGTGGCATCGTAGTGAAATCAGGCGTTCGTCAAAATAATGAAATAAAAAAGACTGGCATTTTTCTGTCCGTTAGGCAATTTTTATCGAATTTTTGTTTTTTGGTACAACACCTTTAAGGTCCATTTAAAAACACATTTCTGTGTGGATTTTACTGAAAAATGTTGATTTAAGGAACAAAAATGGAAAATTTTCAGTTTCTTAAGACTTTCAAGCTTTGAAAGTCGCAAAACTTTGGCGGCCATTTTTTGGGCTAATTTTACCTCTGAAACCAGGCTACCCCCACCTCTTTCAATTGCAAATATCTCGACCTCTATTCATGATAGATGAGTATTTTTTTTCCCCCGAAAGCAAGACAAACGAACAAGCTTTAAAATGATACCAATCACTTCAGATGTCCAAAAATTGACGAGCGCTTGATTCCACCTCGTCGCGACACAAATAACAAATTGTTTGCGCACAGCAGAGTGCCGAACAATCATGGCCACAGAGGCCATTACATAAACCTGAGACCGAGACCAAGAAAACTTCCACACGGAAATTTTCAGACTGACACACCCTGTCGTCTTTTTCACGGAAAAAATGTAATCTCTCTAGCATGCGCAAATTAATATCATAAATACCCTTCATCAACAAATTCACAACACATCCCACCACATCCTGATATTACCATCCTCTTCATGTTATACACAACTCTCATTGGAAACCACATTACGCATTAACAACAACAAAAAAGAATCATAAAAAAAGACAACAAAAGAAAATATAATCATTAAAAATACATTTTTAAATTCATTAAAAAAGATTACTTGAAAAATCAATATACAAATGCCCCCCCACTCACTCAACCATCACTACTATCACACATTGTCATACTGATTCTTCATTCCCCCCTCTCATTCAACCATCACTTTCACACATTGTCATAATCATCATCCTCCATCTTCCTCTTCAGAGGGTTGGGAGTGACGACAAGTGACGGAGTGGCAGAACTCAGAGTGGCCGAGGAAGAAAGCGTCAATGGCTGACTGCTGATGCCGCTGCTGCTGCTGGCACCGCTGCTGCTGTTGGCGCTGATAATGCGGGTCAGGCCCGAGGCTCCGATTCCACCTGGGGAGAGACGGAAGGTAACTTTCCATTTAGTGTTTCGGGAGAAGTGTAAACTCAAGTTGGCAAAATAACGCAGCTGACTGTCACGTTTCTCTTCCGAAGGAAGATCCACATGACATCACAAAAAAAAACCTTTCCTGATGAGTTAGTACTGATGGTTAAGACACTTATTAATATATTTGAGTGCCCGCATGGAGACTCCATCGGAAATCTGGGCATGGCCCTTCAGTTACGTCTGTTTGCCGTAGTGAAATATCCTATTTGAAGTGCAGATACGTCTTCCTACCTTTGACTCGGGGCGTCCATTCAAACGAAGATACAAAAATTAATAATTTTGGCAGATACATCAGTCTGCCTTGGCACGGCAGTATACCGCGAACCGCTACAGCAAGAAAATCCCCGGCTCAGACCAGAAATACTATGGACCGAACCCAAAGAGGTCGTCACATATCTGACAGCCTGCGGGAGGCTGCTGCCCTCCAGGTCCAGAGAAGTCAAGCGTAGCCGTAGAAGACGAACAAGAACAACAACTCTCGTGGCTGGATTATACATTCCAGTTTTCTATCTCAATCCCGCCTAAGCTGTCCCCGCAGTTTTAAGCAACAAAAAATTTGAAATTATACAAACTGAGCCCAAAAATGTGAAATTATGCGATTCTGTTAATTTTAACAAAGAATGAAATAAAGGAAAATAATAAGAAATTATGCAAAAAATTATCAAATTTTGGTAAATTATGCGGGGTGCATTAAACCCCAGGGACAGCCTTAGGTACTATAACGACGAATTTACCCATCACAAGCCTGAGTACCATAAATACTTGTGAAGAGCAATAAAAAACACTGTGAGAAATGTGGTGGTTCCGATGTTGAAGATATACCTTTCAATCCTCAGCACATCTACCTTTTAATTTATTATTTTAATGATAACAAGGCTAGAGGGCGACCGAGAAAGACCTGGACAGATGGAGTCAGGGAAACATTAACAACTCACGGCATCCCCCTCACCCAAGCTCTCCGACTGGTGGCAGAGAGAGGTCTCTTTCTTCCCGCGACACCCAAAAGGGTATAAGCGGCGGATAAAAGTAAAGTAAAGTAAAGATGACAAAGTTAAACCGAGTTACACTAGAAAGTACATCAGCATGCCATATCCCTGCCTTATACATATTGTAGTCTAAAAGAAGGCATGATTTGAATTTCTTTTAGGTAAAATACTTAAACTTGCCCTCATATAAAATGACTCATTAAAAAGTCTTGTATTCCTTCCCATTCAAAATACACATTACCTCTCCCCAACTCTCCAGGCAAGTGAGTTTGCATAAAATTAATCCCCCATAAAACACACCTAGCATTGCAGCCTGTCGGGTGCACACTAATATCGACAACATGAATTCCGTCTGCTTGCTGAGAAATACCTTTACAGCAGCAGAAGAAAAGCACCTTGACGAATCAACAACACCATATCCGGTAGAGCATAGCCTCGCACCTTGCCCTGCCAGGAATCTATACCATGCATTCGAGCAGTAAATACAGATCAAAAGTTATATATACCAATTAGCATAACCTTACTCTCCTTTGAAGTTGTTTGAAAAAAGTTGTTGGAGTTTCCATTTTCAGAAGAAGAAAAAATTGAACAAAAGATCAAATTCAGACCCAACTACTTGTAATCCCTTCAAAATAAATTACTCGGGAGTTAAGACCTTTATACGACTGCTGGATGTAACAGAGATTTATTCCACAGTCATGATGTTAAGCCTCATCATCATCATCACCATCATCATCATGTCCTTTCTCCACCCTGGGTCAGGGTACAGGCCATGAACAAAACACTTTCCACCTTTCCTCATCCTGGGCTAGCCTATTCATCTTATTCCATGTCTTCCCACTTTTCTGTTCATCAATTTCTTGTCTTTGACTCTTCTGCAGGTTCCACGTGGTCTTCCCCTGGATCCTTCACCCTGTGGATTCCAGTCCAACACTTTCTTTGTAATGCAGCTGCCTGACTTCCTGACAAGACTCACTTTGACCACAAGCAAAGAGAAAAACCCCATCTTAGTTTGCTTATAGTTTAAGTAAGTGTTTTACGGCACTCGCAACTGCATAAGGTCACATGAGCACCAGAAGATTAGAGGGGTTACAAGAGAGTAACAAACATAAAAAAGAAGAAGGGGAGATAAGGACGATAGTTTTCTATAGGAAAGAAGGAGCAAACCACACCAGAGCATCCGCCAACCACCCACAAACCCAATCTTATCTATTGTCGAGGAGTGAACTTACCGAGGCCAGGGTTGACTCGCACCGTGGGTTTGGGTGTGCCGGGCTGCTTGTTGAGGATGGCCACGGTGGGCTGGGTAAGCGTCTTGGTCACCACCGCCAGAGTGGGCGTGCCCAGGCTCTTCACTGAGGGAACAACACAACACCACAAACGTTTTTAGTTTTAGGAGAGGGAAAAGATACTGGACAAAACGACAACATGGCTAGGAGCAGCAAGAACAACAGACACCATTGCTGCAATGCAAGACAGAGTGAAGTGGAGGACCATGATCGCCCACGCCAGTCGGCAAGGCACCCGATGATGAGAGGTTTTACGGCGCTCGCGGTCATATGAGCGCCAGAACATTAGAGGTGTTACAAGAGAGTGACAAACATAAAAAAGAAGATGGGGAGATAAGGACGACAGACGATTGAAAGGAAAGAAGAAGCAAGAAGCAAAACCACACCAAAGCACCCGCCAACCACCCACACACCACAAACATGGGCCATTATTTACAATACAAATATGAGTAACCTTCAATTCTTCTATTTCTTCTATTTTGCGAGAGAGATATTCTTCTCTGCGGATGCGTCCGTTATCGTCAGATATTGATTGATGGACACACTTTAACATGTTGACTGCTACCATATGAAATCTTTTTTTTTTTAAGTCAAATTAGTAGAAAAAAATATGCCTACATTGTAGACATACATAACAATACATACATATATGATATACATAAGTAATTTTTTGTCTAAGAAAAGACAAGTACATTGACACAATAATAAGTCATTCAATGCTGGAAAATAGAGGTCAGACTAAAAGAAGCAAAAGAAGGAAAATGTAAAGAAGTATGACCCACCAGTAGCGCTCTCCAACCACCCGCCAAAAATAATTAAACATGCCACACAGGTAATAACTGAAGGTTTCAATGCTTAGTTGCCCACTAAAGAGAGGATTAATCTTTTCAAAAGCAGGTCTGCCAACAGTCAAAACATTTGTCACTGCTGGGTTAAGATACAGAAAAAAAAAAAAAAATCACATAACCACACGAAAACTGGCAGAGATATAGACGCAAAGATACAAAGCTATGCATTAGTGACGACCGTGTGCATAAACAACTTTAGAGTAAATAACAAGCATAAAAATGTTCAGCAAGAAAACTTGAAACACAGATAAGACAAACTATTGCTGAGACAAAGTTCATTCACTATCAGCCTCAGCCACAGACTGATCCTAGTTTGCAACCTCAACCCCTTTGTACACAATACAAGAACACATTCCTGTGAGCATGAGGCTCCGACAGTACAAAAAATCAGTGTGACAATAGTTTGCTACCTCTTTGTACACAATACAAGAACACATTCCTGTGAGTACGAGGCTCCGACAGTACAAAAAATCAGTGTGACAATAGTTTGCTACCTCTTTGTACAGCAGTTAATAATACAAGAACAAGTTCCGGTGAAACTCAAACAGTACAAAACACAGGCCAACAACTGGGACATTTTATGTCTACAGCCTTGATGAGTGCTACAAGGACATCACCACAGCACTAAAGACATCTGCTAAGGAAGCGATTCCAAGAGGGAACCCAAAGTTCCGCCCTTATGGGAACAAAGACCTGGAACAACTGACCAAGGCCAGAAAGAAAGCCACACGGCATGCTGAGAAGAACCAAACAGCCGAAAACAGAAAGCACTACAACTACCTGACCGCCAAGGAAAAGCTGAAGAGCAACAGTGCGAAAAGAAAAACATGGAGAGAACATTGTGGATAACTAGACCTGCGTAAGGATGGGAGGAAAGCCTGGAACCTGCTCACCAATCTTTCAGGTACAAAAAGAAGGAAAAACCCCGCCCCAATGAAACCAACTGAGAAAGGAGAAACATGCAGAGCTGAGGTGATGAATAAATACTTTGCTAGCATCAACAAGAAAGGAAACCAGAACAAACTGAGCCACACAATAAAGCAGCTGACTAAAAGGGCAGAACAGACTCCCAACGTAAACCTGGAGGTGTTTGAGAAGGAGACTACTCTTACTGAATTGAAGGCAGCCCTCAAAAAGTGTAAAAAGGCCCCAAGACCAGACCACATCATCAACAAGATGATCCTCAACCTGACAGACTTTTCCCTCTCCATACTCCTGGACTTCTTCAACAGGATCTGGGATGAGGGACAGCTCCCAACAGAATGGAAGAAGGCAAACATCACACCGATACTGAAGAAGGACAAACCAGCCAGCCAGCCAGCCCTCAAGCTATAGACCAATCTCTTTAACATCATGCCTGGGTAAGGTCGTCGAGAGAATGGTCAACGAAAGACTGTACTGGTTCATGCTTACACAGATGGGTCAGCAACAAACGCTACACGGAATGCTGGATACGGACCCATCATCAAATATCGAAACAACCTTGGAGAAAAGAACCAGACCCAACTATTCGGCCCATGTGGAACATACAGCTCCACTATGACGCAGAGAGAGTTGGCATAGTAAAGACCCTGGAGCAGATCATCAAGGACTTTCTAGAAGGTGCAGTAACACCAGGAGATGCTGTTGTCTTCTCTGGCTCAATGTCAGACTTCCAAGCCGTCGAGGGAGGAGGGGACTACAGAGGTGACAGGAACATTCTCAGCCTTGTAAAACAGATGTGCACTTCCTATGGCATCCGGGTCACACTGCAGTGGGTGCCTGGCCATTCTGGAGTACCAGGGAATGAGACTGCAGACCAGCTATCAAAGACTGGAGCGAGCCTGCCCCAGACAGACACAGCCGCCTCTCTACAGACCTGCAGAGCGATCATCCAAGCCAAAAGCAGAGACGAGAGGCTAAACAAATGGGCCAACGCAGAAACAGGAATATCTCTCTCTTCCGGTACAAGAACAAACCCTATCCCAAAGACCCTTCGAATCTCTTATGTGGAGCCAATCAGACATTGATCTTCAGAGCCCGCAGAGGACACTTACACACCAACAAGAACATAAACAGAAATAACCTCATGTGGGAACCCCATTGCAGACACTGTGACTACCATGAGGAGACCGTTGAACATCTTCTCCTTCACTGCCCAAACCTAGCAGTTCTTCGATGCAGGCTCCTACACACACCTACAGACTTACAAAGCCTGCTCTACTCTGGCATTGACCAGATGACAAGGACATGTGATTACTTGAGGGAGGCATTGCGCTGCCAAGGGCGAAATGCTTGCAGCTAAAGGGATTTGAAAACAACATGTCTACTGCCTATCTCCACGTTACAAACAATTTCCTTTATTAAAGAAGGTCAGTTTGACATAGACAAAATCAATAATTCAAAGGCAAAAACACTGTGGACTATACAGATTATTAATTTACAAGCTACCATCTGTCCTGAAGACCCTGGAAATCTTGTACCTTGTTGTTGCTGATCCAGAAACTGGTGGGCTATTGTAGGTATCTCTATTCAGCCTGGTTCAAAAAGAGAGATGTACCTGTTTGCGCTGAGGATCTTTTAGGGCTACTCCCTAGAAACCTTTGTCTTTGTTTGGCAGCTGGGGAACGAAAGTCAGAAAGTTCAAACTCACCCTGTGGGCTGATGCCAATCCTTTGGCTCATTGGCAAGCCGTACTGAACACTTCTTGGCTGAAATGGCAACAAAAAAAATAATAAATAAGACATACAGACTAGCTTGTTCTCTCGTCCAAAATCAGAAGCACATAGGGGAACAAAACACACATGTAGGATGCCACTGCTATTGACTGATTAAAAATTTACAATTAGTTAAAATGAGGATAAAGGCAAACGGCTACATTTCACCAAGAATTTTACGGGGCTCGCAACTGCATGAGGTCATATGAGCGCCAAGGGGTGGATGTCAACAGAGAAGTCCAAAAGGGGAATCAGGCTTACTCTGCTCACCTCTCTAGCCTCAACAGCACAAAGACGTAAAAGACCAATGAAACTTAAAACACAACAACATAAAAACCCATTGACATATATTTTATATACAGAGCAACAGTATGCAACATTTCAGAAAAAAACAGAACGTAAACATTTTCTACCAAAAACCCTTCTCCAAAAATAAAATTTTAAAAAACATTGAAAAAATATATCACAGGCAATTATAATACCTTTTTCATGGTCTTGAGTCTGTAGTTAGGTGCAGACAAACAGTATCTGTCTGGCGGCAGGCGGGGACCACAGTAGGGCTTCACCAGCGGTAGAGGCTGACTGTTCTTCTGACGGGCTATCTCCATGAGCAGCTGGGAGGACAAAGACGGAAAAGAGACATTTGAAAGGATATACAAAGTAAAGTAAAGTTGTTCCCGCATCCGATCCGGACATTGGGGATTGCCTTGTTAGTGAGACAACTTCCGGGGCCTTCAGCATATTGAGGTAGGGTGGCCAGTTCCTTTTCACGCCGCCTTTACTTCCCCAACTCGAAGTCGGGTACCCATTACTGCTGGGTGGGCAGGAGGGGGCGAAAAAATCTGTGTATGAACCGAGGCTCGAACCCGGAAGGGATATATACAACATAAACATATTTTTTCAAAAACATATACCACATTTTAAAAAACAACTACAAACAAAATCCATCCAAAGACAAGCATGAAGTTGGCGAGGTAGAGAACGTTTAAAAAATAGAAGAAAAGAGAAAAAAATAACCCATCTTTTTCAAATGTTTTCCTAATAAGGACTGTTCAGTTACCACTGCATGAAGTGCAAACACAATAAATCAAAGGTTACATCAATAGTGATTACACAACAAAACATGCCATTTCAAGTCACCCAGTACAACACCTTGCTTTTGAGCTGAGAACACTGAGTGTTGCTTCAGTACCTAAGCCTAGCAACCACCAACCTAAAAGCCAGGTCACTGCCATTGCTTGAAACAATTTTTGTGCCTGAGGTTTTTTTGAAGACGGAGAAATCATTGTAGTGTATCATTTACATTTTAAAATTATTATGTCTTTTGTAGATTTTTTTTACAATTAGTATTCTTTAAACAGAAGCACACAGGGGAATTTAAAAAAAAACAGCTGCAGGATGCTTCCGCTATTGACTGATTTGAAATTTGCTGTGATAATCATTCTTAAAACATAAAAGAAAGATTTTTTTTTTTACCCTATAAATTTCATTTCTAATATTCACGAAAATCAGTATGTTTGATTACTATTCTCACCCTAACTTTTTATAATTTATTAATCACGTAGCTTAAAATCTGACTTGCTTATTAACAGCATAATTGTGCTTATACTGTACTATTTTAAGTTTTGATGCATCTTGAAAACTGCCAAAATTACATCCTTCTAAAATCTTAAAACACACCCAAAAAAAACACTTGGCTCATTTTCAATTATCATTCTGAAAGATGTCTCAAAGTCCAACTACAATTTAATTGTATAGCTTTTATCAGCATAAATGTCTACTGTGGGTTCAATTTCTTTAACATCTTAGAAACAAATATTGAAAAAATATATATAAATAAAAACTTGAACATTGCATGTCAATTTACTCTCATAAAAGAAAAAAGAAAATAAAGTTAAAAAGACAAGCAACTCAAAATGAAAGAATGATCTCACATCTTTTGGAGGAGGAGTGGTGAAGGAGTGATCCATTTTCATCTGAACAGCTAACTTGATGTCGTCTGCATCAATGTTCTTGCGGTTTGCGTGACTAGAGTAAACCTTCGCATCTTCTAAGACGTCGGTGACATATCCTGTGGAGGAGGAAGTGTATTACTCAAAATTAAAATTAACGATCACGATCCTGTTCATTTATGATCTGAAACAAAAAGCATGTACTATTCATAGTCAAATTTTGATTTATTCCAACAGTGAATTTCATTGTTTTCACAGCTCTTTCTCATTCAAAAAAGAAAATCTACTTTCAAACTCTTTGAAATTTTTCTTCGTTGTACACATTACTACGCAAGTTTATTACATTATCAAATCGATTATTTGCTTTGACAAGACCATTTTTCCGTTCTCTTTTCTGATCGACATGTTTCGATGTTATTCTACAGATTTAATTTGAGAAAGTAGGCCAAATCTTCAACGAATATATATTATATAAATCAAAGTCAAGGTTTGTAGAGTTTCAGTCAGCTAAATAAAAAGTCCAAGACAAACCAGAAAATCAGAAAGAGAACAAACATATCCCCAAAAATGTCTTTACTCAGGGGGCTCAGTTGATCAACAGCCACGGTGTATGCTTATCAACCCCAAGGTCCGACCAGTCTTTTTTCTCATATTTCTAAATTTCCTGATTCTAGGGAAAGCAGGATTGAGCACCTATCTTCAAAGTTAAGGATTAAAAATTTAGGAGGTCCTATTTAGAAGAAGTTTTTCACGATAAAATATAGTTATTCTCACCATGGGTGAGAATGAAATGGATATTATTCTCACCCGCTCCGAGAAATTATTCTGTCTTACCTGGGTGTTGAGAACGGGTAGATCTAGATAGAGGCCTAGCAATACATGTAGGCTAATAGGATGATAGAAATTAATTTGTGAAATTGGAGAGACCGTCCGTGACCTGCCCCCGAGTGCTAGCCGATTTTTTTTGGCTCCCGCAGGGAATGTTATTGTTTCATTTTTTAAAATCTAGACAGTATGCCCGCGTACCTTCACTAAAACCCTAGATGAGTGTATACATTTCTCAATTCAGAAAGGAGTTCACTAGCCAGAGTCGTATGTTTTTAAAAACAAAATAGCCTAAACTGAAAGCTGTTTAATGAAATAACGTTTGTAATAGATCTAGAATCTAGTATGTCTGAATAGGATTTGTTTACAATACAATAAACATTTTACCCCTAACAGAACCCATGAGGGCATGCAGCGCCTTGGCCCGTTGGCAATTTTAGTCCCCTCGCACACTCAGCGGAGTGAGAGGGGAAGTCGAGTGAGAGAGGGGAGCGAGTTTTGTCACCTGGAGCGCTCAGTGACAGGAGGGGCCGGGTCCTAGGCCTATGACTGTAGGCCCTAAGTGAGAATTTATTAATTAGGGTACACTAGGCCTAATAAAAAGACAAGAGAATGCCCGAAACAAAATAAAAAGGGCGGAAACGAAAAAAGCGGGTGAGAATACTAGGCTGTCGCTATTCTCACCCGGGGTGAGAATAGTATCCATTTTATCCTTACCCCGGGTGAGAATAATCACAGTGGATTACTATAGATAGTGGATTGATTATTCTCATCCGGGGTGAGGATGAACTGGATAATATTCTCACCCGAAGTGAGAATAAAATTGATACTATCCTTACCCCAGGTGAGAATAACGACAGCCTACTATTCTCACTCGATTTTTTCGTTTCGGGCATCTAGGACCCCTGTCACTGAGCGCTCCAGGCGACAAAACTCGCCTCCCTCTCTCACTACGCTGAGTGTGCGAGGCGACTAAAATTGCCCACGAGCGGGCCAGCTCTTGAGCGCGGAAGACGACTATTGCGGAGTTGGGGGAACACCTTATCTTTTGAGCAAATAGCATCACCTTTTGTTGCTATTTAATTTATAGGTTCTCTAATGGAAAACTTTATTTACTCTTGAATGGTTTAACCAATCAAAATTAAGAAAAAAATAAGCCTAGGGTCAAGGAACTGCGTGCCTTAAAAATAATCGTAGGTTCTGTTAGGGATAACAATTAAACATGTTTTTTGTGTTGTTAACAAATGCCAATTCTAACATTACAATGACAAACTATTATACTAGACATTATTTCATTCAACAGCTTTCAGTTAAGGCTATTATTTCTGGCAAGTGAATTCCTTTCTGAATTTAGAATACAATACACTTGTCTAGGGTTTTGGAGTTTTGGAGAAGAATGCGTGCACTCTCAAGATTTTTAAAAATGAAACAATAACAATCTCCGCGGGAGCCTAGAAAAACCGGCCAGAGCTCTGGGGCAGGTCACTCTTACAATTCACATATCATTTATCATCCCATTAGCCTACATGTAGGCCTACCAGTTCCCAACACCCAGTCAGGCCTAAGAATAAAAGTCCATTGCATTCTCAGACCGGGTGAGAATAATATTCATTTTATTCTCATAACTACAGCCTTGCTAGATCTAATCTATAAATTAGTAGACAGAGAGTCCACTGCCAGTTAAGCCGGTTTTAGTCAGTGACGACAGTGAGGTAGACCTATTTTTAATATTATGGTCTGCTTAGTGCCATGAACGTAGTCTCAACAGCGCCTGCAAACTAAACTGCATTCAGGGCACCGTGAACTTAGCCACTGAACAGCTATTAACTCTTATCCTGCGTCTGTGCCCAGATGCAAATCTTATCAGCAACCGATTACGTCGGACGAGCCGGGCAGGCCGCCGGGGTCACTCAGTGTGTACTGTTGATGTACAGCGCGCACGCCGGGAAACGTGTGTTTTCGCCATGAATACCACGGGAGTGTGTTAACAGATGATGAAAATAACGCTCTATCTTTCATAGCTTTCTATTTTTATAAAGTGTTACAAACACATGAATAACCCCCTCTCACAAGCTGATAAGACATTACGAGTAGTTACGCACATTTGAATAACCTTTCTGGACGCTCTTGTTGTTTTGAATGACATGAGGTTCGAAAGGGGAAAATATACGTCAATTTCTGAATGTTTTACACTCAAATTGTTCTTTGTACCTGCACAACGGTATTCAAAACTATTAAACAAGCTTATTTTTTATCAGGTAGTACCATTTCATACAAAATCAAGCTCATTTGAAATATCTTGTATAGAAAAATGTAAGTCTTGTTTCCTCACTATCCTTTCGAGCTCCTCATGTCTAAGTGGGTCAATTTCTTCCATAATTTCATTGGACGAACATCTAGAGCTACCAACTTGGCATGTTTTGAATGAGACGTATGCCTCGATTACGAACCAACGCAGGCGGTTCTAGAAGAAGGCCACAAACGCACACAAACTCAAGCAGACTGACTCACACACACTTGACCTGCGTGAATGTGGATCCGACCCGAGACTCGAATGACACGTAAGATGATGCGCGGTGCGCGTGCGCTGAGCCAGGGGCTACACTGATTCGGGACCAGAACGTAGGCGAGGTGCCGAAATAGGCTTATCGGGCGACATAAACCCGGCTCCCGCAGGACGAGGGTTAATATTTCATTCGAAGTGACTATCACTATTCGGACTCGAGTCCGAATATGAAAAAATGTTAATCGGACTCTGATTCTTGTCCAGTATGACATCACTACCAACTTCCGACTTCCTGTGACTCGTGACTCCGGCTTCCTGTCCTGCCTCACTTGTGACTCGCCTCAGGCTGGGTAGAGACTGGGATCACTTCGGGCAAAATGGCGTTTTGTGCAGGAGCCGAGTTTTTATCTTTGATGAATTTGAAGCCGGCCTGAAAAGTTATAGCGCTTCTAATAAATGTTTATTTGTCAAGAGGTCATCAGAACCAATTAAAGATGGCTCGTTAGCGTGTGTCGGGGTCGGATGGGCGGCCTGCACACGTGTGGCTGTGTGTGCAGGTCGGGGAGGGAGGGGGGGGACTATCGGTCCGGGCGTTGAACGTCTTTTTCCCCCTGGCAACTGATCATTGTTACAATAACAAGCTAGTCTTGACGTAGATCTACGTAGTGAATTGTGCGCTGGTGTATGGAATCAAAAGCTGCCGTATGCTCGGCTCTACACAGCAACACAACTTTTTCTTGGTAAACAATCGAGATGACACAGGCTTGTGTATTTGAACGAATCGGTTCCGTTTTTTTACACAGCTCATAATATGCAGGTGCCAGGTGGTCTGCTAATCTTCAATTTTACCTTTTTCTACAACAAAGAAAGTGGGAAACATGGGGGGGTGAGGGGCGTATTAATGAGGCGGCGGGCATCGGATCGGCAGATAAGGTGTGGGGGAAGGAAGTGGCTATTCTCATCCGGGGTGAGAATAGAAAAACGATCTACCTCTCACCCCGGGTGAGACTTGCCAGCGTAGGCTATTCTCACCCGGTGCGAAACAAGACCTGCTTTTCCTCATTTTGGAATACTGTCTGTCGGTGTGGACGATCAAATTGATAAAAGCCAAGAAAAAATTACGTTATAGCACAAAAGTAAGCTAATTTGATCGTCTTCAAAGATGCTATGGCTATTTCACTGTTCGAATCGAGCCGAACTACGCGGGTCGCCATTTTGTTTTGCCCGTAAGTTCTCGCAAGATCTACTCCTCCCCTCTCTCTCTCTCTCTGTCTCTTTCTGAATACTGTCTATCGGTGTGGACGATCAAATTGACCAAAACAAAGTTAAAAAATGATGTTAAAATACAAAAGTAAATTAATTTGGTTGTCTACAAAGATGCTACGGCTATTTAACTTTTCGAATCGAGCCGAACTACGCGGGTCGCCATTTTGTTTTGACCGGAAGTTCTCGCGCTACTCCTCTCTCTCTCTTTCTCTCTCTCTCTCTCCACTGCCCACAGACAAAATTGTACGCTTTTAGTAGGCTACAGTTGTAATGGAACGTTTGTTCACGGCACAGAATTCTACAATTTTTCTGTTATCACAGTGTAGAATTCTGTGGTTTAGGGTGAACGCAAAATTTGTTGGCCTAGATCTAGGCTATAACGGTGAACGCGCACCGGGTGAGAATAGCCAAAAGACTCGCCTGCACTATTCTCAACCCGGGTGAGAATAGAGGTGGCCGTGGGGGAAACTAAAAAATGGCGAAAAATTGGAAGCACTGAACGTTAGATCTATAGCCTAGATCTAGAAATCTAGAACGAAGACACTTCCTTTTTTCCAGACCCGAGTCCGAATTACATTTTTTCATATTCGGATATGAAATTTTATCGAGTCTGAATATATGAAAAAAATAAAATCAATAAAATATTATACGAAGTGGCTAGCCATACTTAAGTACGGCTAGCCCCTTCCAATATTATATTATTATTACGGCACGGCCTATCTCATTACTCTTGCTCAGAAAGAAGACTTGCTGGCTCCTTGTTCTAGATAGGCCTATCTAGAATCTAGATCTAGATTTAGATCTAGAGCAATAGATAAAACGACAATGTGAATAAAAAATCAAATGTACTGTGGTGAGAAGAAGCCCCCCCCCCCCCCCTCCCCTTCCCCCGAGTCTCAACTTCATCATTATTCGGCCTTCAATCAAACTTCCAAACAAAGTATCAACAAACGGCGTACCCCTACTGAGTGAGTGCAGGGCAGGAGAGGAGAGGAAAGTATAGATCTAGATCTAGAGTCTAGTACCGATGGATCAAAAAGAAACTCACTGTATGTAAATTCAAGCATCTGGTTGATCAGACGTGGTTCTGATTCCAGAACACCCATATCTTTCAAGATAGCCGACATAACTTGGGCATCTTTCGGGGAGCTTTTCGCCGGCCCCGACATTTTGTTTCTCTCTTTACAATAACACTTCCTGTGGTGGCATGCATCGTAACTCTACACGACTACGAGGAAAATACAAGGAGTTGCTTCCCGTCTTGGCTATAGCAGAGACACTAAAATACTCTCTGGCTATAGCCTAGAAGGATTTTTTTTTCTTGTGTTCGTCAAATTTTGATAAATATAGGTCAAATTGACTCAAACAATGTCATTCCAAAGACTTTGATCGATCAAGCAGCGTTCTTTTTCTTCTTTTTCTTCTTCTTCTTCTTCTTCTTCTTCTTCTTCTTCTTCTTCTTCTTCTTCTTCTCCTGTTACGTATATCAGCTGGCCAGTCAGCCTCGAGAGCCTGCAACACCAAGCACTCATGCTATAAAGGAAGAGGAAGGCCATGCAAAAGGTGGATCGAGGGTGTCAAGGAAACGCTGAGAAAACATAATATCACAACTGAAAGAGCTGCGGAGTTGGCTTACCATAAAAAAAACTGCATCTCCCCTCGACACTTAACGGCAACAGATGATGAAAAAGTTCGCTAAAAGTAAAAGTAAGTAAAGTATCATAATTAATTTACCAAAGCACATGACACTAACTCTGAATTCAAAACGAATGGTCGTCGCGGTCATTTTCTGAGTGACGCCAAACATCGAGGACTGAAAGTTGGAACATTGGGCGCTTAAATTACTTAATCGAAGCCTATCCTGAGATATGTTAGCGAGACAGCTGACTCGTCAAGTAGGAGACCTGAAGTGAGAGTCTGTTCAAATTCAAAGGATACCGCAATATAATCTCAGTCGGCATCCGTAGCGTAAATCAGTAAAACAAAAAATGTACCAAAATATATATGATGATGAACCATAACGACATTACTTGCATCATGTGTCGACATGTGCCAGTGGTTCGTTCAGCGGTTTTAAAGAAACCCAAAGAGGGGTGGGGTGGGGGGGGGGGGGCGAAATATGGTTCTCGGATGCATCACATTTTATTTAGATGGCCAAGTCAAGTCTAAGAACTAGGCCAATCAGCCCCCCAGTTATGTCCTACTTCATGTGAGGAATGTGTGCAACTTGGCAGCCACCCCATTAATAAATTATTGGTTTACTGTGATTTGATGAGAACTGCTGGGTGACAAATGAACGGCACGCTGCAGTCCTTTAAAATATTGAAGAATCTATAAACTATAAAAGGAAGACGCAGCAAAAAAAAAAGAAGTAACACAGTTTCAGCAGGATGGAACCCTCGCCATAGATCTACAGCCAATGTTTCCCTGATTTGACTCCACGACACAGAATTCTACACTTAAGTGTAGAATTCTGTGCTCCACGACCATTTCCAGGACCGAGTCATCAGCAGCAATACATGCACAGTAGGCCTACCTGCGAATGGCACGGGCTTGTATTCAGTGGATTTCTGTTTTTATGTGAGGTTCCTGGAGGACATTATTTACCAGCATCTCTTTCGAACAATGTAGATTTGAATACTATTACTATGAACGCTTCAAATCAATTTCGTTACATCGACCAGCACATGCGAGCACAGGTGATTCACACCTTTCAAAAACGAGTGTATGAATGTTTACGGTTGAAAGGAAAACAAGCTGAGCATGTCGTTTAAATGTACATGTATTACATTGGAAAAGGGGGGGGGGGGGCAAAATCACAGAGAGCCGTATGTACACGAACTTACAGAAAGAGTGAAAGAGATTTGGGAAGGGGGGGAGGGGTACAGAGAGAAGGTAGCAGAGTGGGTGCGATAGACAGGTGATTACAGTCGTTTTACGCCACCACCGACACATTTAAGGTCATTCAGGGGACGGACTGCCAATGAGATCAGTAAGCGTCAACCCAGCTGAGAGGGATGCTCACATCCCAATAGACAGAAAGAGATACTCTATAAAATATCTTCATAAGGGAATCATTCTAATGTCGTCTATATATGTGTATCCAACAAAAAGAAAGAAAGACAGAAAGACAGACTGACAGAAAGAAAGAAAGAAAGAAGGAAAGAAAGAAAGAAAGAAAGAAAGAAAGAAAGAAAGAAAGAAAGAAAGAAAGAAAGAAAATAAAATAAAATAAAATAAAATAAAATAAAAGCCTTACTATTACACTGCTACACCACACAAGTCAATGTAGACAGACAGACAGACAGACAGACAGACAGACAGACAGACAGACAGACAGACAGACAGACAGACAGACAGACAGACAGACAGACAGACAGACAGACAGACAGACAGACAGACAGACAGACAGACAGACAGACAGACAGGCTAGCTGGCAGACAGGCAGGCAGGCAGAAATAGATAGATAGATAGATAGATAGATAGATAGATAGATAGATAGATAGATAGATAGATAGATAGATAGATAGATAGATAGATAGAAAGATAGATAGATAGATAGATAGATAGATAGATAGATAGATAGATAGATAGATAGGTGTACAATTTAGAATCCTGTTCAGATAGAGGTGTCACAAACCTACCTGAGTGAGTCTTTTATAAGGAATGTGGCACAAATGTACACACAATTACACACATCGAAGGCTTCTTTCCAAGGAGGTTTTTTTCTTCTTCTTCCTATAAATCAGTTATATTCTGATCGTCATGTTCTGGAAACCTGATAAACGCAAGAAGGCGACTGGCGGTTTCTCTTCAATATATCTTTAAAAATCTAGACAATGTAGAGATAAAAATGAAGGGATATTTTTTTCAATTTGCAAATCTCATTTCTTTTTACTTTTTCAAAACCCCCTGCTGGTGCGGAACCGACACTAATGTTTCAGACCCCAGAACTGGGGAATTGAGTGTGCTATAGACAACATTTAATTTAGTTCAGTAAGAGTTTTACGGCACTTGCAACACAATCAGGTTTTAAGTGCCAAATCGCCAACATGTATTCAAATGGTGGACTTTTGTGAAAAAAAAAGCAAATGCATGCACTTATAACACTTATATTACATGTATTATATCTAAAGATTTGCTTCAATAGCCCAAATTATGATCATAATCATAACACAATCTTTTATGAACTGCGCGTTGACTAAGAAAGTGATGAAACAGCAAAATAGAATTGTAAGAAAGTGATGAAACGGCAAAATAGAAAGTCCAATGTTAATGAGAGACTGGTGAGAGAGCGGGGAAGTGAGAAGAGTGGCAAAGAGTGAGAGAGATAGAGATAGAGATAGAGATAGAGATAGAAATAGAGATAGAGATAGAGATAGAGATAGAGATAGATAGATAGATAGATAGATAGATAGATAGAGAGATAGATAGATAGATAGAGAGATAGAGAGATAGAGAGATAGAGAGATAGATAGAGATAGAGAGAGAGACGGACAGACAGACAGACAAAAATGAGGGGCGGGGTTGGGGGTGGGAGTCGACGTCTTTGTACAAAGAGTTAAGTCGTAGTACATCGTCATGCAATGTATGTAGTTGACAACGATGGAGTTTTTCCTCCAACAAAAACAACAACAACAACAACAACAACACAGGCCAAAAAATGTTTTACACCTGAGAACAAAGTAAGTATTTCATCATCATAAAATGTGCACGGTATGTACTTTCAGGGCACGGACGATCTCATGTTCTTCGCCCGTTGCTATGGACCCGAAGCTGAGGTGTAAGCAGTTTTGAACAAGCTGTGTGTTTTTTTAAACATGCCCTTGGTGAGCAATATGAATTTATTCTTCAATATATCTAACAAAAACTAGACAATATAGACATAGAAATGAAGAGGTTTTTGTTCAATGTACAAATCTTTTCGTTGCTCTTATTTATTTTTACATTTTAAACCCCCCTACAAACGAAAAATGCGATATCCCCTCAACCTACTTTTGACAACTGACGTCATCATTAAAATGCGGTCGGTGTAGACCTGTGAATGCGAAATATATTAATCCGCGTTCTCATGACAGGACTATTTTTTCATTGGGTTCAAAATAACTGATGAAAACAATCACACATTAAAAATTTTAAGCGTTGCATACTTTAAAATTGTATAGAATAATATGACTAATTTTCAAAGTACACTTTTATACTACAGAAAAGACCGGAAAGATAGTTCTTCATTATTTTGTGTTCAAAATACTTCCGCCTTTGTCATAACGAAAGCGCGAGCAAGGCTTTGGGTGTCGGCGCTACGAGAAGTGTGTTCTGCTAGCTCTCTTGTCGAAGAAAAGCTGGTTCTCATTTGGTCACTGTGGATTACACCTTTTGTGCCCTTTCTTCTTGTGCGAATGTGTATTTAGTGCTGAATATATTTTATTTCTCAAAGCGTCTTTGTGATTCAGTTACCTGGATTGAGATCATTCTTCTTTGTTTCTTGTGAAGCTGCACCGCAACGGTGAAGCCAGTTGTGAACAAAAAAACCGTTTCAACGTTGTCGGGACCAACCGGATTTCTAGTGTTTATTGCATTTGTCCTTCTCTACTTGAAAGGTAAATATGATTTTCTATCTTTGTAATTGTCGAATGATTTATTTTAAACTTTGGCTCAGTCTTGAACAGGTTCTCCTTGTGAAAATGGTACAAATTTTGATCGACACACGTTGTGTTTGGACCAACATGTGGCCGACCACATTTACGCCTTATCGTTCCCCCCATGGAGAGAGGTTTTTTAGTTGCTGTACGCTCTTAATTGGGAGATAACTTACTAAAAAAATGTGTGCAGTACTAAAACTATTGTTGGTTTGCTCCATTGTTTCATGGCACTTTGTATCGGACCACTTTGATGTCAGTTTTCAGGTTTGAGATAACGGTTCCCAGTAAGACTTGTTTGATAGTTGGAACAGACTATAAGTCGTGTGACCTAGATGATGAAAGAGCTTCCGAGTCTCGGGAATGGTCTGTTTCATATAAGATGACCAATGAAGTTGTCGTGCGTTGCTATAGTCTGCTTCGTTCATCCTCAATCTACTGCAAGAGCTGATGATGGCTGATGGCTACTTGCTTGTCATTGTAGGGCCTACTTTTACTTGTCTGCTTTAGATCGCACCTTTTTTCACAGACTGAGACTTTTTGAGACGAGAGAAACATAAAGAATAGCCTTGTTGGTTAAACGAAGACAACGAAGCCGAAGACATAAACGTTTTATCGTGGTATCATTCCCCTGGCCCGCTTCCACGCCAATGGAAAATTTAACCCTCGTAGCGCTAAGACCTAAGAATAAGAAGATAGCCTAACCGTGCGACTGTGTGTTCAGAAGCCTAGATATCTTAGATCTAGATAGAATCTAGATGTAGGTCCAGATCTAGTTAGTCTAGACTTCTAGATCTGATTATATCTTCTTAAAAACATTTATTTTATCTAGATTTCTATCTAGATCAAGGCTACTAAACTAGACTCTACTCTAGATCTAGTACTCTAGATCTAGATCTAGATCTAGATCTAGAATCAACACGAAAAGAAAAAGCTTTCAAGAATCTATAAATCTGAATTTGTATACGAATCAAAATCTCAAGTTTACTTCGCTCTTACTCTTAGATCAACGTAAACGTCTGCGTTTTTATTTATTATTATTAGCCTATTTTTTAAATCTTCCACCACCAATGTTCAATAATGTCCTCAGCAGTCTCCTCCTCGGCTCTGTTCTAATTCTCTAGATCTAGATCAAACCGGCGGCGGGCCAAGATCTAGAATTTTAGATCTAGATCTAGATTCTAGATCTGAAAGCTCCGTCTTTTACTTTGAGAAATTTGATACCCTGTGAGGCGATCAGTGGGAGAGTAGGCTATAAAATTATTATTTCTGTGTAGGAAGGTGTGAAGCTGACGACTATTCTCCGAAGGTGGTGAGATGAAACTCGACTATTATTGACAATAGTGAAAGACACAGCCCCCCTCCTCCCCCTCCCCACCCGTCCCCCAATCTCTCTCTCTTTCTTCCTTCCTAACTCTCTTTTCCTCCTCCTCCTTTCTCTCTCGTCTCTCTCCCCCCCCCCCCCCCCCAATTTTTTTCTCTCCCTTTCAAAAGAGAACTTAGACCCCCCCCCCCCCCCCGTACGTTCTTTTCTGTCCTTCAAGTGGAAGCATTTTTGTCACTTTTCAGTTCTTGTTGCTCTGGGGCATAGATAGACCTATTCACATAATTCACACAAATTTGACAAATTTGTAACATACATTGACCAATAAGCAGCTCGCCAAGTAGTGATGTTGCTGACAAGGTGCACTTATTTTCATTTTAGGAAAGGTGTACGCAGAACTTTACTCATTATCGTATAAATAAAGAAATGATGTTTCTCAATGTTGTATGAAGTAGGCTAGGTTTAGATTGAATTTTCTACAAGCTGCAAACAAGCCCAAGGGTTTCCTTCTTTACACATTGAAGCATTAGCAAGCACCAAGTTGCAAGGATGAGGAGGCCATGAGGCTTGAAGAGGTGGTAAATTAAATCAGAAGTGAAGGTCAGAAAAAAGGCGGGGGGGGGGGCGGGGGGGGGATGCCACTTGAACTTCTATTGCTTTCTATTTCCCCTTGAGGAAATTTGGGTTACAATGAAATGCATTATATTGTGACATAAGATCATTGGGTTTCTCACAAGCTGCAACAAATCACGATCATACTTCTTATCACAGTGGGTGGTTGGCGGGTGCTCTGACATGGTTTGCGCCTTCTTTCATATTTTCCTACCAAACATCTATCGTCAGATACTAGATCTTGATCTAGATCTATCCTTATGACCTTATTGTGTGCCGTAAAGCTATTAACTAAAACTAAATACTTATCGCACTGTGCTATACATTTTCACGAACACGCCATTGCTGGTCTCTGTAGCCGTAGTGCAGCGTCATGGCTTTGAACAAAGAAAAGAACTGACGCAAGAATCGGATGTGTGTCTTTGCAAGGAGTAGAACACATTCTGCTTGATGAGGCCTCTTGTAAGGGTCATTTGTTGATGTCCATAACATTTTAGCCTGAAAACGACGTTTTGTTTGTTACACCTCAAATTATATTTCCTGCCTCCACCCACGAAAGACGTAGGGCATCAATTCCAGGCGCCAATGCTTCCTTCTCCATATTAATTTTAAAAAACCCTGAAAAAACAAACAAAACGTGTTTGCATCTTCATCCTTTTTGTCCACCCTCTCTGGCCCCTTTACCCTTCCATCCCCCCGGCCCCTCCCTCATCTCCGACGCGTCTTACAAATTATTATTGGACCTGTGAGGCACGGTCAGAAGCTCGCTTCTTAAAAATGATCTAAATAAATGCAAATTGTGTTCACGTGGGCGTAAAAACGCATCATTAATAAACAATGTTGTGTTGATTCATTTTTATTTTGCGAAGACGGTACACATATTTGGTGCACTAGGTTTAACTTAACTTGATCTTCCTGTATGTCTGGTAGTCTTATGGACTGTTCCCTCGTTTTGTTTATGTGTAGTGCTTCTAACTTCAGATGGTTTATAGTTTATGAAGTTATCCATCATATAAAGCCATGTGTGACTGGTTGGAACCTGACAGATTTCTCTATTGTTTAGTCGGTGGTTGGCGGGTGTTCTGGTGTGAATTTGTCCTTCTTTCAGAGGTATCAAACACTTGTCGTCCTCATCTCCCCTCTTTTTTTTGTTCAAATATTAACCATAAGTATAACTTGTGACGTCTCTCATACTTTCAAACTGACTTATAATTAATGTTTGTTTTTTAACCAATAGGTAATCTATTTTCATGTAATTATTATGTTGCTGTTTCTGTTTTAATTGAACTATTTTTTATATCATGTTGCAGGTTCCTGAGACGGATAGGGCCTGACCAGCAGTTAATAGATGACTGCCATTCCCTGATGTTAGATACGGATTTGACATTCTCTTGACCCTGCAGCTATGAGTTTCAGTAGCGATGAAGTCAACTTCCTCGTCTACAGATATCTCCAAGAATCTGGTAAGTGCAAAAGGTCTTTGGGCTTTGATTTGTTTTGTTGACTTTCTCATTCTATTCTTTGTGATGGGTAGTGAATTTGGAGAAATTAGTGTTAAAGGGCATTACCGTCTTGATTCTGTGGAAACTCATGCGGCAAAATCGTCAAACTTGTGAAGACCATCTATGATGGAACAAACTGCCAAGTCTTCCACGAAGGACAACTCTCAGAACCATTCCAGGTGCAGACTGGAGTGCGACAAGGATGCCTGCTCTCGCCTTTTCTCTTCATACCTGCAATTGACTGGATCATGAAGGAAGCCTCCAGAGGCAAACGCAGTGGAATACAGTGGATCCCTTGGCAGCAGCTGGACGACCTGGACTTCTCCGATGACCTTGTACTGCTCTCTCACACGCATGCTCAGATGCAAGAAAAGACCAAGGAACTCAACAGCCTATCAAGGAGTGTTGGCCTACGTATACACCCGCGCAAGTCGAAAGTAGTGAAGCTAGGAAAAGTGTCAAGCCCTGCTGTGACAGTGGAAGACAATCCCCTAGAAGAAGTGGACTCCTATACTTACCTTGGAAGTGTCATCGATGGTAAAGGTGGAACTGACGCAGATGTAAAAGCAAGAACCGCCAAGGCAAGGTCAGCTTTCAAGCAATTATCAAAAGTCTGGAAAGCAAGCAACATCTCACTGCCCACCAAGATTCGACTCTTTAATTCCAATGTCAAGTCTGTGCTCCTCTATGGCTGCGAAACTTGGAAGACAACAAAGACCGTGCTGAATAAAGTACAGACTTTCATGAACAGATCCTGAGAATTAAGCGGCAGTATAGAATAAGAAATGAAGAGCTATGGGAAAGGACAGGACAAAAGGATATAGAAGTAGAAATAGGACTAAGAAAGTGGCGTTAGATGAGACGCACCTTCAGAAAGCCCTGCGGAAACATCACAAGACGGTCACTGCAATGGAACACACAAGGAGCACGAGGCAAGGGTAGGCCCCGAGAGACATGAGGAGATGTGTGGAATGGGACATGAGAGAGATGAAGCTCACTTGGAACGAGCTAGGAAGGATGGCCTAGGATAGAGATAAATGGAAGGAGCTTGTATGTGGCCTATGCCCTGTCAGGGGTGAAAGGCATTGATGATGATGACCCTCTTGGTTGTTTTTGTGGTCTCCTAGCATCTTTTGGGCTAACCCTAGTTTGGGTTTAACCTGGTGTTTGCTTTCCTTTCAGAACTGTTCAATGTGTTGCTTCGTATAAAAGTTACTTTTAAAAAATTTACTTTTATCATGGGTTTTTTTTTTGTTCTTTAAAAGTTCTTTTAACCCTAGTCAGTTTAAGTAGAATACTGACAAGAGCTGAAGTGTGCTTGTGTTTTTAAAATGTTAGAAAATAGGGGCCAGTGTGACCTCTCCATTTTGTTGATATCTTTCGATAACATCTTTTTTATGTTTTCCAATCAGGATTCCCTCACTCGGCGTATACATTTGGAATTGAGAGTCATATCAGCAGTTCCAACATCAATGGAACAATGGTACCCCCTGCAGCTCTGCTCAGGATAATTCAGAAAGGATTACAGTACACGGAATCCGAAATAAGCATTGGAGAGGTAAGTACATTGTACTTTATTTCCATCATTCTGTGCACAAGTGCTGTCAGAGAGCTCCATCTTGGACCTTTGGGAGGTTTGGGACTGGTGATGCTTCCAGAGATACACTGTTATATAATAATGTTTTTGTCCAGTTTTGACAGTTTCTAAAATCATCTCTTCTTTTGATAGAAATCTGTTCTACATCCTTTGATCATCAGGGACACCAAGTTCTCTGTTCTGATTATAAAATTGCGTAAGGTGTTACTTAATGTGAGTTATTCATCTCTACTTCATTCTGGAAAATGTATCATTGTAAGAGATGTATGTGATGCAGATCCGAGGCTAACATTTGACAATTCTGTTTTTCCGTCTTATTTACGTGAGAATTTGGCTTCTGTAAGGCTATTATACATTGTGAATGATTCCTAAACTGAAATTATGACACCCTTGTGATCCTCTGGAACTCCATTTTGTTTGTAAGATGAATGTCTGATTTTTTTTTTCAACAAAAAAATATGATTAGTGTTGGGCAGATGCTAAGGCTAATTTTGTTTTGAGGAACAGTGAAAGCAGCTAAATATATAGACATCGATCTATAGATCTATATCCCCATATGGAGACCAAACTCTTTCACCGAAGGGAGAAGAATTTGAGATGGCTTAGAAATGGAAATGATTCCTGGGGTCAACTTCACTTTTCAACTTTGCTAGATTTCAGTGTAGTCTTTGACTTTGTTGATAAAATGCATCTTGACCGTTGTCAAGACAAGTGCTTACAAAATTATTGTCCTTTGATAATGAGAAACTGTTGCACTGTGTGAAGCACCTACTCATCTCCAAACTATTTGATTCACATCGAGGGATCATCCGAGGATTTACCAAACTGCTGTGACACACATTGACTTGTAGTTGTCAGCTGTAGTATAGAAGATAAGAAAATTGCAGACTGCAGTGGTTATGATGATGATGTGGCCTTCATACGTGTAGTGAATTGGTTTGCAGTGATATTCACCGCATGAATCTGACATGGAGTATCTCTTTATCTCCTGTAGACCTGACATAGTCCTTGAAGTAGTGATAAGTTTGTAGTGGATGTTGCTTCTTGTGTGATTGTATAATAACAGTATTGTACATTATTATGTTCAGGCTGTTACGTAATTTCATTAAATTATGTAGTGTGTCTGTTGTCTGGTCATTTGTTGCCTGGGCCTTGGCTGGCTTTCTGTTGACTTGTTCTCTCACACTGATTGTCTCCATTGACAATGGTGGGTGCTTCCAAGTTGCTGGTTTACTCTAACCTCTATCTTCATAGAGACGTGTCGTGCGGATGGTTGGCGGGTGCTCTGATGTGGTTTACTTATTTTTTCCTGTCAAACATCTATCGTTCTTTTCTTTATTCCTTCAAGGCTCCTTCTTATTGTGTTTGTTACACCTAATCTTTGGTCTAGATGACCTAATTGTCATTGTGTTTCAAATGCCGTAAAACACTTTAAAACTTTACTAAAACTTAAAAAATCCTAAAAGGTGTATAGCATTGTATCTGCAGCTGGTATGTCTGCCAGACGTGACTTTGTCAGTGAGAACAAACGCCCACAGAGTCAGTAAGGATCAATAGCAACACCAAAGTAGTAGATTCTGGCATTCTATTTCTGTTGTCTTCTGTTATATTTTTTTTTTTGGGGGGGGGGGGGGTTAAAGGCTTATAAATATCCGTTAAGCTTGTTCAGTAACTGTTAACGAGTGGTAGGAGGATGACACTGGTTTGTCTTACGTTTTTTGTGTGTCTATCTTGTCCTGTAACTGCACAAAATAACTGTTAATTGTACTTTGATAGGCCTTTCTAAGCTCATACTGTACAGTTCTATACTAATGGCAAAAGTTTTGTATGAAATAAAATTCTAATGGTTGTGATAGTGCAGTATGGGAGCTGTGCCGGGGCTTGATCTGAGCTTACTACTTTTAGCAGAATATTCACTATAATATCTAGGCTCTAGCAGCCCTTGGTACCGTTAAATTGAAAGAACCCCCCTCCTCCCCCCCACACACACACACATACACACACATCCAGATTTAGTGTTCTGTAAAAACTGAGTGACCTTTAAAAAGAATCTACCAAATATTTTTTTTTCCTTGAATGTTATTTGACGCAGCCGTACAAATGTGGAATGGATGCCCCCCTCCCCCCGTCTTTTTTCCTTTCGGCCAAAGTAACAGTGCGCTGTATAGATCAATAAAAAATGGTGAGGATGTTAAAAATAATTTTGACCTTTGCCCATCCCCATTTTCCACCCTTGGGCTTTTCCCCTAGAGAAATAAAGAAATCTCTGAAACTGTTCTAAAAAGAATCGACAAATAACAACTGCTGTATCGGTTCCCAGGGATAAAAAAAATTATAAGATAAATAAATATAAAACTGTTCCAATGTATGTTGCGGCTGTTCACATGAGTTCATTCTTTCTTTGGGTTTTGTTTTGTTGTCGCGTTTACACACTCTTTGTTTTTTCGATCACGTTTCTGCTCTCATACTTATCAGCCATCTTTGCCTTCTTTTCACGGAGTTGTGGAAGGGACACACATAAAACTCGGAAGAGAGAGAGAGAGGGAGAGAGAGAGAGAGAGAGAGAGAGAGAGAGAGAGAGGGGGGGAAGAGTAGGACCCTGAAAAAAAAATCCTTCAAACCAAACAACCCGACATCATTCTTTGTTGAATAAGAGTAACGAATAAAATCACCCAATGGCCATGTAATTGAATGAAGAGGAAAGAAACCTCCTCCATTTCGTGAGTACTCCCAAGACAGGCGGACTGAAGGGCTTCCTATATCATTAGCAGGACCTCAAAAGCCGACCGTTCTATTAATATTGCTGAGACAGTTTTCTTTGCCGCCCTGCCTACAATGTATTTTATCACTGTGTTTTTTTTTTCTTCCCCCCCGTCCTCCTTCAATTCTCCGGTGACTCGAGGAGTTGCTGATTGTTTCCTGTTCTGATAAATTTTTAAAATTAGTTTTCCCTTTTTTTTTCGGGGGGCGGCGGTTGGAAAATTCACTGTAATAGGGTTTTGGTTTTTTTTTTCCGTTTTTTTTTTTCCTTCTCATATTTTCTCTTCAAACTGGTGAGGCTTTGCGAAAGTGGGGATATATTTACAGAAAGAACTGTGACCTCCTTTTTCAGTCTTTTCTAACCGTTGTTAGTCCCACTTGTTTTGACAAGAAGCGCGCACGCGTAGATTCTAAACATGGGGATTTCGGATTTGGATGGAGGCAAAAAAGAGGGTGGGGGTATTTTCGTATTGGAAAAAATATGGGGGTATATTCGAGGCGGAAAAAGTGGGGGAAGGAAGGGGGGGGGGGTTGTATTCGTTCTGACGTCGTTTAACGATGTCTGTATGTTAGGAGTCGTCTTTACTGTCCCAAGAAATCCCAAGATTTGTCTCTTCCTTGGTACGCCACTAATGTCGGAAAGTCGTCGTCATTTGGTACAGACAGGACTGACTTCGTATTTTAATCCAAAACGAATACAGGCTGACTACAAGACATATATTGATCTACCTGCTCTATATATAACATAGTAGCATTGGTAAAGGTACTTCGTAAATCTCCCAAGAAACAGGTGCAAGCAGAAACGAAACTTCAAACCTTCAGGACATAGAAAGAAAATCAACGATAGGCCTGTATGCCACAAGACTTCCAACTTCAGAATGGAAATCTTCGTTAGAGTACTAGAGTTTCTGTTTAAAGTCATGTCGCAATGAACCTAATTCAAGTAGTATAGGAATAGGAGTCTAATGTCCACACAGAGGCAGATGGCGTCGATAGGTCGCGGCAGGGCCGGTGGTCTATAGAGTATGAGAGAGAGAGAGAGAGAGAGAGAGAGAGAGAGAGAGAGAGAGAGAGAGAGGGAGAGAGAGATAGAGAGATAGAGAGAGAGGGAAGAGAGAGAGAGAGAGAGAGAGAGAGAGAGAGAGAGAGAGAGAGAGGGAGAGAGAGATAGAGAGATAGAGAGAGAGGGAAGAGAGAGAGAGAGAGAGAGAGAGAGAGAGAGAGAGGAGAGAAGTATTTGTAATGTTGGGTGGTCTAAAGAGAGAAGTATGTGTAGGGTCGACAGGCCGCGGGCGCTATTTAAAAATAGACTACTGGGGAATCCCATGTACCTTGCTTTTTGTTTTTGTTTTGTTGTTGTTGCACTTGTGGTTTTTTTTTTTCCTCACTATTGAAGTTCCTTCAGCAGTCAAAGCGTGAGAGTTCTTCGGTAATCTCTGGTGATTTCCCTTACCTCAAGTCTGTCGCTAGATTCCGGTATTATTCTGCCAGGCGCTCTGGTTAGATAGATCTACCGTATTTTAAAAAAATATTCACTGGGACAGCGTAGCGACTAGCGACGTCATGGGGGATCCTGTTGGAAGGGTTTCAGCCTTCTAAGCGTAGGTTTTAGTGAAACGGGAAAATGTAAAGCTATTATTGTACATCATGTTCATTGTGTTGAGAGAGAGAGAGAGAGAGAGAGAGAGAGAGAGAGAGAGAGAGAGAGAGAG